GAATCTCTTCTCTCCACCCCCACTCCTCTTAGTACATCTCCCTAGGTTGTGGGCTCTATTTTCTGTCTCCAATTTCCTGAGATGACACCAATGGTGCTGGATGGCCCCATATACAGAGAGCATCACCACATGTGGCCAGAGGTGTCCTCATCATCTTCATCAACTTTTCCCAGCATACCACAAGCCAATGCTGGCTCACAGGATGCCTCTGGTCCCTTTGGGTCATGAAGTCTTGATTTCATTGGGTTGCTGGCCCTATCTCCTTCTGAAATGACCAAGCCTCCTTCTCTTGCACTTACAGCCAATGGAATGTGGAGCACAAATTAATAAGGTGTCACATGTTCCCAAAGCCACGTCCAACTAAGCTACATACATTATTTTCTCCACTTTTGAGATGGTACTGGCCCCCTTTTGGCTTTTTGGGCCTTGGTCCCTTTCTGTTACTTCCCTTCCTAAACACTTACCACGCGCGAGTTGAAGAGACCCATCTCACTAAAAGACGAGTGTCCACTTAAAGTGCCATCAGGCCCATGGTCTGCGTCCTGGGTATGAGCCTCCCTTTTATCATCAGCACTCTGAACCCCACACTTTCCCTCAGACTCCTATCCAAACATGGCTTCTGGCAAAGAAGTTTCCTTTCCCCAACCCAAACATAACTCACAAACTTTAAATATCCATGGACGCTCCAAAGAGCACACAAGTTCATAAAGTTTCAGAGTTTTCTTTAAGAACATTTTGTTTGCTATCAGATGGTCTCAGTTAGTGTGGAAGTGCTAGTAGAGTGAAGAAAGAGCAGCCATAGCCCCATCTTCTGCATGCCTCCATTCCCTGGCAAGAGCCATGACTTTGACAGTACAGGTTGAGCCAGTAGCAGAGAAAGTCTTGCTCCCTCCCCCAGCATCTAGTGCATTTGGAGAGGATGGTCTGTAGTTGGCATGGAGGGAAGCAAACAGAGGTGGTGCTAAGCAACTCTACCAGAGATGTTGATGGGCACAATGTCAGAGTGCGTGGAGCAAGGCTGAAGCCACCGCTTCTCCTCTAGGATGGGCAGAGGGAAGGGGGTATTCCAGGCAACTTGCTTGTCGGCTGTGGTAGACAGGCTCAGGGAGGCCTCAGAGGCCCTCACACCCTGGGTGGTAGTCTCATCCTCGCTCAGCTGCTGTTTTGTAGGCTGTTGGGAAAGAAGGTGGTGGGAAGGGTGTACTCCTGACTAGAGATGAGCCATGCCCACAAGATGGCTATCTAGGCAGGCTGGTTGGAGGCTTCATCTGGGAAGCAGGAGAACATGGACAGGCTGCCAGGCCAGACACCTACTGTGCAAGACCCATCTGGGCTGGACCTCAGGGTAGCTCTGCTGGTGAGCAGAGGTGAGCAGCGGTATCCAGTGGATAATGTAAGCAGCTCAAGATACCCTGTCGATGGGTGCAGGGCGAGCTCTGCACTGGCTCTCCCAGGCAGGGGAAGATGCAACTCACCATCAATACAAACTCCAGACGCCTGGCAGACTGGGGCCTTGGGCTGGGAGTGGGCTCAGGGGCCTCATCAGCAGAGCGGAAGGTCTGCCCCAGCAGTCTGGCCTCCGAGTACTGCTCCTCATATTCTTCTGAAAAACAGCACAGTGGATACAAACTCTAGGGGGCCATGGTCAAGTGCCGGGCAGGGAAGGGACCATGAGCCAGGGCTCCTGCTCTAACTGCCAGGCCTGACTTGCACTATTTCTTTGGATATTTCCTGGCCTCTGAGCCTCTGGATTCAGAAATGGAAAAATGACTACTTCCTGGAACTATGAGAGCCGAAGAGAAAAGAGAATCAAGAAATTTGAGTTGTGGTGGTTCTGGGACTAAGCCCGTGTGTCTGTGGTCCACACCTTAAGTGCTCAACTTGGAGTGGAGGCTCAGGGTGCAGACACCTTTTGCTACTTTATGCTGCAAGACCCTCTCTTTAAAGCCCTCCAGTTCTTCAGGTTTTCTGCAACCCTAGCTGGGAAAAGACCTGGGTGAAGCACAAGGAGATTTGTATTAGGAAGTCCAACATGGGGTGCTCCCTTGCATGTCAAGAACTCTTATTCAAACCTCCAAGGGCCTGGCTTCCTGCATCTTAGTCCCACTGCAGGTGGTGACAGGTCCAGGGGAGTGTAGGTGAAGGAGAGGAAAGGGAGGAAGTGGCATAGAAAGAAGGAGAATTTCAGGGGCATGATCAGGGAATAAGAAGGATGCATAAGATTTGAATTGGTTTCATTTAACTGATGAATTCGAAGGAAGGGAAGGAACCCAACGAAATGAAGGAAATGAGAGTAAGGAATCAACAGGCAGGACTCTATGCATATTTGAGCAAAGACTTTAAGAATTACAACTTGGAGTCAGGAGGGTCCTCAAAAGTTCTCTGGTCCAACATCCCATTCTGGGCTCAGACTTCCTCCTCAGCAGCCCTTTAACGTGTCTCTTCAGCCTCTGCATACACTTGCAGAGGAGGGAGCAGCCCTCTTCCCAAGGCCGCCAATTCCATCCAAGGACAGTTGGGGCTGTCAGGTGTCAGGAAAGTTTTTCCTTATCTTATGGTGAAATCTGCTTCCCTCTGGGTGCCTCCCCCAGTCCTAACTGTCCACGGAGGCACCACAGAACACACTGACTCTTTTCCTGCATGGTAGCTCCTCTCTTATCTGAACACAAGGCTCATGGTGTCCCTTGGTATCTTGCTTCTCTAAGGTAAGCACTGCCCTGGCAAGGAGGTGGGGGTTATGGCTGTAGTCCAGTTGGGTGGCTGTGTGCCACTTTCTATTCTCCACCAGCATTAATCTTCATTGGCATGAATAAACCAGAGCTGATAAGATGATTTTTTCATATTTAACGGTCACTCAAGAAATGTCTATTGAGCACCTCTTGGGGATCCAGCCCTGTGCCAGGTGCTTCTGGAAACCCAAAAGACATGATTCTTTATGCTTACAAGCTCAGTCTGGCCAGGTGGACAAAATATATACCCAGGACTAGTAGATGAAAGAGTAAATGAATGAACAAATGCAAGGAAAAGCAGTTCAGAACTATAAAAATCCTCTTGAACAGGATGGTACAAAGTGCCTCATATGCGTGCTTATGGAGGGAATGGTGCAAAGTGCAGAACTCATGTGAAAGGTTTTCTTAGAGGAGGCAAGAATAGAACTTTAAAGAAAGTATAATGATTGGAGTGAGGAAGAGGGAGGAAGTCTTCTAGGTTTAGAAAAGAGGTCTGAATGGGATGTGAGGGCTGAAAGTGGGTATGGAGCCTAGCACTGAATTTTTATTTGTATTATTTTATTGAGTTATAACTTACCAACAGTAAAGTGTACAGATTTGTATATGGTTCAGTGAACTTGGATATATGCATGCCCCTTGCAATCTCCACCCAGGTATTTGCAGCTCGCCAATAGTCTCTCTCATAGACCTGAGCTTTAATACTTTTGCCACTTACATTGGATAAATCTGTCTGGTAAATGTGTATTTTTTTCATATTGTAAGGTCTTATCAGGGACCACCTTATTTTTTTTCATATCAACTTTAATATTGTGCTTAGCTCAGCCCATGTTCCAAAGGACATGTACCAGGAGTTGATGTTGCATCTCATCAGGGTCTCTCCAGCAGCAAGACACTCTTGCTAAGCCCTATTTTTAGTTCTCACAAAACTGTGCCATGTAGGGAATTGGAATTCCCATCTTAAAGATGACTTATGTGAAGCTCAGAAAGGGTGGATATCTGCATACGGTCACACAGCTAGGTAGGTGTGTGAATGGAATTATATTCTAGCTCTGTTTTCCAAGTCTGTGTTTTCTCCATCTGCCTAGTGGGTGCAGTCTGACTGCTCAGGCACCCTGACTGGGCTGCTTCTCTGGGTCTGTGGACCCAGTTTTGCACACTATATGCTCAAAGACAGTGGGAATTCGGGGTGAAGTGAGCGCTGGGTGCTGTGTACTGGGCTTGCTTTGGTGAAGCAGTAGCTACCCAGAAGATATGTGGACGAGGTTAATGTAAGAGTAGAATGAGTGAAGCCCAGAGGGAGACTCTGCAGGTGCCAGGATGCCAAAGGCATGGGTGATGTAGCAAGGGAATGTCTGGGAGGTATGTGGGCCACATTGTGGGAGTCTCTCACCCAGCTGTCTTTGGAAATAAATGGTTTGACCATTTGCCCTGTCTCAGTTTCTGTCCTCATTTCCCCCATGGGCTACTGAGCTAAAAAAAAAAAAAGGTGGTGGTGGTGGTGGTGATTTAGAGTCTGGAAGGTGACAGATAGAAAATGTGTGTTTTGTTTTACAATGGGTTTTAAACTTTTTTTCTCTCTCGATGGTCCCTGTACTCTTTCTTCAATGCCTCCCTCCAGCGGCTGCGTATCTGGCCTGTGGGTCCAGACGAAGCCCCACACCCTCTCGGTACCTTGCAACAGGCTCTGGAGATTAAGCTGCGCCTCTCGAAGCAGCTCCTCTACACTCGGGGGCCTGCCTGAGGAGAGGAACACGTTCACTGGCTGTCGCCATGACGACCTCGAGTGGGCAGTCGCTGTCGCATTTTCCCGACTCGAGTTAGCTGCAGCTAGGGAAGGAGAGAGTCAGTGAGAGGCACAGCCCAGGGTGGGCGAGGCTGCCACTGGG